CGGAATCCAATCTCTGAAATGGAGGAAAATCTGCAGCCTCTATCGCTCCATTTTCAATTTCACCTTCCAGTGGTGTGGTAGTATCACCGCTGCTAGGAACAGAAGGCTTTGAATTTGCTTCTGAAGGTTGACAACACTCGACCATTATATCCAACAATAAATCAATAATTGCCTGCTGTAAAACTTTGACTCCCATTAACAAGTTCATTAAACTGGGAGACGACTCATCTGTCTTTGAGACCTTCTTCCCATCATTGCAACCAGAGAGCTTAGTAGGAAGAAGTAAGCGCTTAACTTTAGCAGGATCATCAAGATAAACACGAAGTCCAGTAAGAAATCCTGCAATTGCACCGGCATCCATTAAAAGTTTTTCTCGCAAAGTGACCTGTGGTTGTGAAGGATTATCTCCGTATGTTAGATGAAATCCAGCTGTAGATAGAAGGTTTCTAAATATGTCTTCTTCATCACCACTTATTCCTTCACTATCTTCTGAATCAATGAGTTCGTCCGGATCAGTAGTCAAAGCATCTTGATCATCTTCTGAAGCCAAAACCTGAAAAGGAAAAGGAAGGTACCGCTTGAAAACAATCACATTACCACCTCATTTTGTAAAAGATATGGGAGTTCAAAAGCATTAACTTTGGAATAACTGATTTCTAAACAACCTATAAGAAATCATAGACAGAATTTAGTCCAAAATTGTAGCTCAAGAGATAAACAAGTATCTATGAATTTCTTCCTATTCCCTGACGAGTTCTACACTTACACTGGTAAGCATATAGCTTAAGTGTGAACAACTCGGGAGAAAGAAAATATATGCTTCTATACCATTTGTGATTCTAGGCATTTAATGAACTTGACGTTATGACTTCCTTTAGATAGTCTTCTTCCTCGAGCCATTCTATTCAAAAGTCAAGATCTCAAAAGTCAAACTAATAAAAAAAATCACTTGAACCGTGAAAATACAAATCTTATGTCGACATTCAAAGGTTAAATATCAAGGAATTTGAAGAAACCAACAGTAAAAACAGACAAAATAACATATCAATAATCAAGCGACAAATAACTTTCACTTACTGGCAAAGACAAGAAAGTAATAATGCAAGGACAAAGAGAGAGAGAGAGAGAGAGAGAGAGAGAGAGATTTGAGCGCAAGTATATAACTCTCTTGATATTGTAGGCCTTGGTGCATATGAAAATTTTATAAGAAAAGATTTTGCACAACTGCAAGCATAAGAGTAAAAATGAGGGATACAATAAAACGATGTTCAATTACTTCAAAAAAAAAAAAGAAAAAAACAAAACAAAACAAAACAAAAGCTACTAACCTCCACCTTCAAGCTATAGTCTCAACGGTCTTAAAGTTAATTCAAGAGCTTTTTTGTAACTCTAGATAGGACCTCTTGGATAGATTATTCTTTTGTAATATATCATATCATCAATGAAATATTTATTTTCTATCTTATTATCATGGATTGGAACCCATTTTTTGTATAGTTAGTTCTCTTAGTTGTCTACCCATCTTATTGCATACCCTTTTGTATTTTTTTCATTTCGATGAAAATTTAGTTTTTGAATAAAAAAGGAAAATATTTGTATCATACAAAAAAGAACAAAAAGAAAAACAAAAACCAAGGAGAAAGTCCACTGACCTCAAGATCTGAAAACTCAAACCAAGGGCAACAGTCCAATATTTCACATACGAAAATAACTGTATCTCGTACAAGAAACCCCGCTTCTGCCTCTAGCAAATCTGACACCTTCATGAATTGCAAAACAGAATTATTCCATGTCTTTGTACAAATAGAAGACTCCTTCCACACAGTTTTTGCTGGATATTTTTGATTCACCACGGCCATTTTGTATCTGACCCAGAAGTTTTTGTCTGGATCACTGCCAACAGACTGATCACTCTCCAGATAGATGCAAATGGTGTCAAAGGACTCATAGACACCTGAAATGTTCGAAAGAAATTTAGTATACAAAGTCACGACAATTTTTATAAAAAGATAATAACAACAGGGCTACAGCCTAATTAAGGAAGATGCAAAAGACGTACCTATACGGAGCTCACATCCACCAGCTTGAAAGAATTTACTAAAGATTTTACGAGTCTCCATTATTTCCTTGAAGGACAAAAAGTTCTCCACCTTCCATGTGAATGAACTTTTTTTTGCTGCCTTATCCATCAGAGAGCTGGAACCAGTTGACTCCATGTCTTGATCAGTAAAATCCTGCATCACAGATGTCTCCTTTAATATAAGGACCTCAGCTGAGAATATTACAGTATCCTGAACAAGAAACCCGGAATCCTGATCAAAGAGGCTGGTAAGTGTGACAAATTCACGCCATCCCCAGTCTTTTGCAGCTTTGGAGTACCGGTTTTGAGACTCCTTTGTGACAGATTTCTCTTCCATTTTCTGGTTTACAACTGACAACCGATGACTCACAAAACAACTCCAATCACTGGAAGCATTTCTTGAATCCGTAACTTCAAGAAAGACTGAAAGATGACATGGTGGCTGAGACTGCCCTGATACCAGCAAGTAGAAACGACAATTTAATCATCGTGTCCTAAAACGAAGTCTAACAATAAACTACAATATATGCGTCCTGTAAAATTGTTAATCAACTAAACATGCAACTCCACCAATATGGAAGGAATAAAAATGATGTCAAAGACGCCTAGCATGATCTAATCAAATATCATCTCAAATCAAACCATTTCCAGCAAGAAGCTATGGAGTGTGTATAACTTGATAGCTACAATCCATTTACAAGTTTTGTACTTCAGACCAGACACCAGGCCTCTACATTTTTCTTTTAATCTCAGAGTAGACCAATCATACTGAGCGAGACGTGCTTGAAATAAGTTCAGCTGAAAGAACCATGATAAAGAATAAAATAAATTATCTACTTCTCAGCCACGGCAGGCTAGAATGTCAAACAAAGTTCAAAATTGTTAAAAGAAATATACAAGTGCTTTGACACAGAATCATATTTAATTAAAATACAGTATATATATTTATATATATGGGAAAATTTTCTAAATGCTTGAGTTTTTTCTTTCTTTCTAGGATATATCATCCTCTTGCTAATATAATTTTGGTTCGATGTAAGCAGCAGAAATTTCTAGGAAGAAGTTGGGGAGTACCTCGAGGATAAACAATGAGACGACAGTCACGGTTCCCGACCTGGAATCTCCTGCTCTTGATGCAAAGACCAGTAATCTTCCTCTTCTTCAAAAGGTCCTTTAACCTTATGAAGTTCTCAATCCTCCACGTAAATTTGCCCATGTGACCATCTGATTTCCTAATTCCACTCCCATTTCTCCCTCCAATTAATCCACCATTCTTTGAAAAACTACTGAACTCCTTGATCACATGAAAAGAGGTACTAAACACAGCGGTATCTTCAACCAAAAAACCAGAATCTTGCCCAACAAAATCAGACATCTTCATATAGTCATTCCACCCCAAACTGGTATTGTCCCCACTCTTATTATCAGCTGCAAATCTCCCATATGAGTCTCGATGCATGTGGTTCAAAGCAGGCTTCTGGTTCAACACGGACATTCGAAACAAACACCAACAACTCCTATCAGGTAATACTACTGTTTTTTCAGTATCCTTGCTCTCGAGACACATCGATAAATACTCGGTCCCATTAACTGAGCTCTGATAGACACTAATCCTCAAATTACACTCTCCAGCTGGGAACACTGGGCTCATTATTTTCTGTGTTTTTATCATTTCTTTAAACAAACTAAAATTATGAACTTTCCAGGTGAACTTGCCGCTGAGCACCTCCGGCGCAGGGGAAGCAACAACGGAGGATGCCATCATCATAGATGAGGCTGGCTCATTGTTATCCCGGGTAAAATTTACAGACTCGTTGAGGATTAGAATATCAGCAGTGATCATAATGGACTCGTTATTATACAAATAGCCGAGCTTAGAATCAAACACGGTGGAAGAGGGAGTAAAATCGCACCAACCGTGTGACTTCTTCTTGCTCGAGAAACGGTGCCAAGAATCCCGATGAACGGTCTTCGAATCATCGAGAACGTTGACGATAGCCAAACGATAGCTCGCAAAGCAATCCCATTTGGAAGACGATGTGCCGCGCGGGTCCACGATTTGAAGGTAGACTGAAATATACCCCGGCAGAGCTTGAGAATCCCCCTTTGGATATATCAACAGACGGCAATCGTAACCTCCAACCTCAAAGTACTTGCTCCATAGAGCCCTAGCCTTGATTCTCGGGAAATTTTGTACTGTCCATCTACACACCGCGGAGAAATCCCCCCGCCGATCGACGGTCACCGTTTCCTGCGCCCCGCCGCCGTCCCTTGACCCGACAGCCAAATCCTCCGCCGCCGCCGCAGCCGATATCGATTGGGGCTTCTCCAACAGCGACGATGATTGCGACTGCTCCGATAATCCCGTGGTGGATGATGATGATACTGCCTCAGATATACTCTGCTTCATTGTTTCTCTTTGGACCGCTTTGTTCGTTCGTTTTGATTTCTCTTCACTTTTGCCGTTTTCTTTTTTTCTCTGTCAAAAATTCACGTAGGAAGAGATTGAAGACGAAGAACAACAACAATAAAGAGAGAGAAAATAAAAATTAAAAAATAAATAAAAGAGAGAGAAAGTTTGTGATATGTGGTGGGAGGGTAAGACCAGTGAAGCTCCTGGACAATGAGAAGCGCATGATAAGCTAACTTGCGCCTTTCCCCTCTTATATTTCTTTATTTCCTTTTTTGCCCTTTATTCTGTTAAAATATTTCTCAACTTTCTAATTCATTTTATTTTATTCGTATATATACTTCCAAATATTTAAATAATATTTGCAAAAAATAATAAATCAATTTTCAATTACGTCAAATATGTGGGGCACTAAAACAAAAAGATGAAAGTACAGGCATTAATATGAAATAACCCAAAATGTAAGGACCCGAAAATAAATTAATGACAATCAAACAACCACGTGTCAGCTTGAAAGAATCTCCATTTCCCCAGACCTCTGTGTGCTTCACGGCGACTCGAGCTTCTTCTCCAGCGGGCCAAGCTCGGTAGATCCATTAGACTTCAAGATTTCCGGCGGATTCCGTATACTGCTGGTTTCCACGACTCTGTAAGATCATCGTAATCTCAACCTTGAGCTGTATAATTTCAGTAATTAGGGCATTGAATTGGTTGAAATGGTTTCTGGCATGTTTCTCTCTTATGGCTGTATGAATTTGCTCCGTTTTGGACGATTTTGAAAAGATGTTGAGGAAACTTCTGCATTTCTTGTAATTGTTTGTTGAGGAAGAGAACGAAAAAGTCTGTATAATCGCGAACATAGGAAAAGAAATGATTACGACGTTTTGTCTCGTTAACTCGATGGACTGCCACTCAGCAATTAATGCTTGCACGTCAAGTTTTATGTCGTTGATGTAATTAGTAATTTGTTAAATTTTTTGAACATGTGAGCGTCCACTGTTTTGTGATAACTGATCGATTGAGATGTAAACTGATAATTGCTTCATTGGAAGCTTGAAACTTCGTAAGTGTACTAGAAAGGTGATTTATTTAGCAGGTAGTGCTAAAAACAGTGCGTTCATGAAAATTTTGCAAATCAATTTAGTACTCTGAAGAATGCCTGCTATTTACAGTTACATGGATTGAGATTAGATTACCTTGAAGGTCAGCCATGGTGTGGAGTTCGATATTGATCTTTTCATATTCATGGGGGCTAAGTGTTAAGCGGTGAATATGAAGGATGAAGGCTGGAACAGGCTGAAAATGTAAGTTCTCTCCCTAGGATGAAGGCTAGAAGCTCGGAAGAGAAAGCCCACAGAGAACAATATCTGCTAGCGGTAGGATTAGGGCGATATGCCTGCAAGGAGGTTGAGCTCCGAAGGGGGGTAAACACGAGGCGGTGTGCTAGCAAGGACGCTGGGCCTCAAAGGGGGTGGATTGGGGGTTCCATTGGAGAAGGGAACGAGTGCCAACGAGGACGTTAGGCCCCAAAGGGGGGTGGATTGTGAGATCCCATATCGGTTGGAGAGGAGAACAAACCATTCTTTATAAAGGTGTGGAAACATCTCTCTAGCATACGCATTTTAAAAACCTTGAGGGGAAGCCCAAATAGAACAATATTTGCTAGTGGAGGGCTTGGACGTTACAATGACAGTAAATCTCTCCAGAGACACCTGGGGCAAATGCCATGAGTTATATGCAGAAATTATGAAAAATTATGAAATTCTCTAGTCAGCTGATGTGTACGTTATACGTTGGATGCTACTGTAGTATTGGATTCATGTTGGATTTAGTTATACAAATATATAACCACAAAATTTGATTATTGAACTTCTGTTATGTTTGGTATCTGTATAGTACATTTTCATTGTTTCTAACTATGCCCAATGGCCTTTGAATGCCAACCAAAATTATGTTAAATCTTTCTTTCAGATGGAGGAAGTTTGTCTTAACAGCCAGCCTGTCTTTGATGATTGTGACATGCATATGGTGATTGTTCCTTTGTGAACGAAGATGAATCTATGGAAGCACAGTCAAAGAAGAATCTTCCACGGCCAACTGTGGGTTCGGAATATGATTCTTTTGATGAGGCATACGACTTTTATAATGCTTATGCTAAGGTACTGGGCTTTGGCAGCAGAGTCAGCAATTCATGGTTTCGATCTAAGAGAAAAGAGCGATATAGAGCTACACTTATCATTTGCAGGAATGATCTCTATCCATGCATATGAGAGGTTTAAAACACTTTTTGGTGGATATGTACATAAATTCACATCTTTTAAGACATTTGTTGATAAGTATGATCTTGTCCACCACAGGAAATATTACAAAGAAGCAGTAGCAGATCTGGAGTCGAGAAATTTAAGCGTCGAGTTGAAAAGGAGATGTAGTTTTTGAATTGCAGCTCTCCAAGGTATACACAAAGGCTATATTTAGCAAGTTTCAATCTGAGGTTGAAGGAATGTACTCTTGTGAGATCTCATATCGGTTGGAGAGTGGGAACGAATCATTCAGGGTGTGGAAACCTCTTCCTAGTAGACACATGTTAAAACCGTGAGGCTTACAACGATACGTAACTGGGTAAAGCGGACAATATTTGCTAGCAGTGAGCTTTTTCAACTCTTGCTTCAACATGAGGCAAGTCAATGTAAATGATCCTAATTCCTATATTAGATATGCATGTTAAAACCATGAGACTGACAGCGATACGTAACAGACCAAAGCGGACAATATTTGCTAGCGTGAACTTTTACAACTCTTGTTTCAACATGAGGCAGGTCAATGTAAATGGTCCTAATTCCTATATTAACTTGCATTGTCAAAGAAAGGATTGTAGTTGAGGGAAACGGGCCATGGGGAGCGAACGAAAAGCATGTTCGTAGTCTGTATCCCGAGAAGGGCGGTAATCCAATCAGAACTTTGCCTCCATGTTACCAAGTAAACATGAAAGAATAAGGTACTGGAAATCATTTGTAGGCATGCAATTACACTGCAGCATTTTGGTATATTAACTGGCCGGCCCCATGTCTTGGACTTTTCCTTGTTGCAGGCTACCTATGGATGATAGCTTTATATGCACAATTCCGTGGAAGTTTAAGCAACACCTTACCTTACTTGTGAGCTCATATTGGATCTATTATGGTCATCCCATTGAAGTTGAGACCATAAATCCTTGCAGTTTTTCCCACTAAAATTCTCAACGCCCTCAATTATAGTCTTTGCTCTGTCTTTTAATTCAAGACTTGCTACCCATATAGTATATGGGCCCTCTTATATTCATTATGGTTACGTTGGATATGTGGACTTTATAGTAGATAATGCATGCATATAATTATTTGGTTTATAAATGGTGACACAGTTGTACGTAAGAGTGTATTTTCGGTCTCTTAACAAATATGTCAACTATATAGGAGGCGCGCTAGTTAAGCAAGCTAAACTAGTTTTTTTTAATTCAACAATGGTGGAAAAATGACCTAACTTAATTTGATTTTTTTAGTTCAATAATTGTATGATAAAGATCACAATTAATATTTATTTGAGATGATAGTTTGTACTTTATTAATAATAAAATGGAGTTTAACCAAATAGAAGATATATATCACGATTTAGAACATTTAGTTCTCTTAAAAGATATATATATATCATGATTTAGAACATTTAGTTCTCGTATATATATTATGATTAGAACATTTAGTTCTCATCCTGTGTTAAAAGAAAAAAAAAATTATTCATATAGTTGAGAATTTTTTGAACTAACTTTCCAATGGTGCGTTTCTCGAGCTCAAAAAATTTAGAAGTAATAATCTTGGGAAAGTATTGGTCAGGAAAAAAAAAATTATGAATTATGTAATTTGTTCTAAAATATATCTCTTTTTATCCAAAGTTGCAATAATATTCTTAAGAGTTTTAAAAAAGTTTAAACAATATGACCGAAAACTATAACATATTTATACTCCAAAAGTAATTTTAAATGAGTAATATTTCAACAGTATTTTTCTAAATAAATAGCCAAATTCATGTAATTTGGCCTTCATTTTACTCAAGAAAATGGAAAATCATACAACTATATCACAAAGAATTATAAAATAATTATCCTTTTAAAGAATATTAATAATAGTCTCGTTTTGAAGTTGCTAATGCAAAATAAGCACAAGGAGTTTTTTCAGCAAAGCGCTGTATAACACTTGGCTGTCAAAAGATGCCAAATATGGTCAGAAGAGACCTGGATTTCGTAATGGACAACAAAGCTAAAGCTTCACGCTGGTATGAAAAAATTACGAATTCACCTTAAGAATTTACTTACAGTGTCCAACCAAAGCCATGCCTTCTGAAGATGAACATGTATAATCCAAATCATCAGCACCCAGACAAGCTGAGTTTATCAAATCGTATAAATTAGTGTACGAGCAGTGTACACCGGTGGAAATCACAGAAAACAGGAGGGAGCAACCCGAACTACGTATAATCACATGTCAAATTGTTCTCATTATAGGCACTTAGGTAGTGTCACTCCATGGCAAACATAAGCTAGCACCAAGTATGCAATCACTAGGAGGAGTACTATCAGCATTAACCTGCAAGATTTGAGGCATTCATTTAATCAGCAGGGTGCAGAATATCATCATCTTTAAGACATTGAGAGGCTTTCTACACGAAACTTCTAGGAGCAAAAGGTGCACAAACTGAAAAGCATACAAGGAAATGTTTAGCCGCTAAGAACGAAAATGCAGAAACTGAAAAGCATACAAGGAAACATTTAGCCGCTAAAGGCAAACATGTTTTTGTTAATTATGGAAAACAGTTGCACTCTTTATTAAGACCAATCGAGAAAAGATTTCAAGACACGTTGTAGAATACTGCTACATTTTGCTTTGCTCTTCAAATTTGTTGGGATGAAAACCTTGGTGGGGTGAAGGGGTATTTATAGGAGAGGTAGACAATTTATTTCTAAATAATTGTCTAAAATATTTAGGTATTTTTATTTCTAAAATACCTAAATCATTTTCCTAAAATACATAGACAATATGGGCTTGACCCTATTGGACTAGCGAGGATCTTTTACATGTTTTTCATAATTAAATTTTCAATCACAAATTGCAGACATAATATGAAAATGCACCAACAATCTCACACTGAGTGTACCATTAGTACTGATGGAAAAATAATTTTTTAGAAGGGGAGGAAACATACATGAGCTTAACATTTTTCCACCATACTGTGTTTCTGAAACGTCGAGACTGCTTCCTAAATCGCATGGTGTTTCCTTGCATATTAGTAGTTTTATCCACAAGCAGCTCCAATCGGTCACCTCTCTCTAAAACTTTGTCAATATTCTCTATCATGACATTTCTCACCTGTAAAACATAATAACTATTGGTTATCGATACTATGTGCTAGTTGCACAACAAAGAAGCAAAAAATTTATGGTGAAAGTTTATATGATATCCCAAAGCAGACTATTATCTATGTATTAGAACGCCAGGGCTTTCTCTGTCATTTTTTTCTTCATGAACAATATTTTCAGAATACTTCTTCGGGTGAATTTGTTCTTCCCTCTAGTAACATAAGCTACTTTTTTTTTTATATTATTGAGATGAATTTTGTAAATTATATGTAATATTATGCTGAGTCTGGTAAGAAGTATAATAATATTTCGTGTCTGATAACAAAGTGGCAGTATATTGATGATGGAAAACTAGAATAAGGCACTGGAAGTGCACACCTAAACGGCCACCAGTAAGTAATAGAACTGCAACAAACTAAAAAAAAAACATTCTCACAGTCTGCATCATTCTATATAATGCGCATACATCCTAGATTAAGTGAAATGTTAAGAGCGAAATAGCTGCTTTAAGATATTTTGCACGGCATAAGATTATGTAAATAAAACCTTGAAGTATTTTGATAATCACCTGACTCATTTCACCTTTCAGCCGGTTGATCCTATCGGCGCTTGGGTCATTGGAGTAGTATTCCATTTGCTGACTCAAAACTCTTGAGAATTCGTCGTTCATGCCATAAGGATTGGCTGAATGAACTGCACGGCCATATGTCCTTACAAATCTCTGATGAATATCTTCCAGGAATGCAAAAGGAATCCTCCCTGAAGAATATGGGTTGTCATTGTCAGTACAACTAAAAATTCGTTGCCTGATTTTACTGTGTGAACGAGTTGGGTTTCAAAGATGACTTGCAGCAGAAAGATTATTATATGATTGGCTTCACTTGTCGGTGGGACGAAGCCGACTAAGATTGATAAACATTTTATTCTTCATGGCGGTATATTTTACAAAGCAGCAAGCATCCTCACGCTAACCATTTTGATGTTACGTAAATGAATTGAAAATCACGGAAAATATCATCCAGGTTCAATATAGATACACAAATGCCATCCAAACTCCATCGACTATCCACACAGATCCAGCAATATGCAAACAACAAACAGTGAAGAACCGAAACTACTAAATCAACAGATATCTTGAAGAACGACGCATAGTCTATGAAATAACCCATCATTAAAGTTAACATAGCAACGCACATCTGCCTACTCCCCGTCTTAGAACTAGAGGGCTCTATTCTCGGTCTCCCGCCAATTTTAGAAATCAACGATATGCTGTGATATGCAACTAAATGATCCGACTATACAGTGTTAAATAATTAGCATTGGCCATCTAAAACAAAAAAAAAAGAAAAAAACTATCCAATAATTAGCACCAGTACTCAATTGCACAACGCATCGATACCTCCAATCCTCATTAACGAGACAATACTCACTTCCGGCAGTGTCATCGGCCATGCAGAGCACCGTAAGGCCATCGGTACGCTTGACGTGAAAGATATACCGATCCTGCGAGTAGGAAACATGAGAATCATCGTTTCCCGGAATTTTATCGAGTATTTGGCGAGAAATCGAGCTTGCATTCGTCGGAGTTACATAAAATTCAGCCAAAACCACCGACCCCCTCGCCACCAGCGCATAGATTATCGCCATGAGAACGAAGATCAAATCGGTCGATTCAAGATAAAATCGACTGCAAGAAGCACGCCGATCAATAGAGCTGAAGCAGCCGGTACGTTATGGAAGATCAGGATCTTGATTCTCTCATCACCAGTTTGAGATTCGGGCGTCGAAGATCATTGGAGAGCGAGAAATTTGAAATTAGGTTTCTAAAAATCAACATTGCAAACACAAAGCGGGAATGAGCTTAAAAGTTGATCCCAATCATTCCACTTTTTCCTCATCCAATTCTTATCTTAAAATCTTCTCAAATATTTAATCTTATTTTATGATTTACTTTTATTTTATCTTTAAAAAATTACCACTCATCACTCCTTATACACCTTAACATACTTATCTAACATGAAAGAGAGTACAGGGGATTTGAAAGGGACATGCAACCAGGGACAACACATCTTGGACAAACATGATTATGACATCCAACATGTTTACAAACAACACGTCTTTGACAAATATGATTACGACACTGACTCACAACGTTAATGGTAGTGAAAAATTTGCCAAAGGAGAGTTAAAAGAGGGACTAGAGAGGAAGGCCACGTCATTAATAAAATTAATTAACATATTTTTTATTTATTTATCAATTAAGTAATTAATCATCAATTTCATTGTCATACATAAATCAAGATCTCAAATCTTAAAAATTAACGTCTGTTTTGAAACTTTAGGGATCAAATAAACATAAGACCGAACGTTAAATATGAGGACGGAAGGGTAATTTCTATTGTTTGTAAGGATTTCTACTCTTTCTAATTCAATCATAAATTTACAAACCTTCTTAGTTGCTTAAAAGGGCAATATAGTCATTTCGGGCAAAATTAATTAACATATTTTTTTATTAATCAAGTAATTAATCCATCACGTTCATGGTCATAGATGAATCAAAATCTCAAATCTTAAAAATTAATGTATGTTTTGAAACTTTAGGGGCCAAATAAACATAAGACCGAACGTTAAATATGAGGACGGAAGGGTAATTTCCATTGTTGGTAAGGATTTCTACTCTTCTTAATTCAATCATAAATTTACAAACCTTCTTAGTCGCTGAAAAGGGCAATACGGTCATTTCGCAAGAAATTTAGGGCATTATTCCAGTCCAGGAATCATTAAAAGAAAATAGGGCCATTTTAGCAATTTTTATTTACTACGGAGATTCTCCCGCCGAGGAGCTGAAGGAAGAAAGTCGCGGGCCAGACGACGACAGTTCGGTGTTTGCTTCTCAAGCACTCTCTCTCTCTCTCTAACTTGTTGTCTCTCTCTCTCTTCAACAGTCACAGACGGAACCGAACGGCCAAAGCTGAGAGAAAATTCCCAATTCACTCTCTGCACGCGGCTTTCAGGTTTCTACGTTTTACCCCTTTGCTGGCTTGAGATTCGAGTCCCATCTGTCCATGGTCAGATTTTCCGACTCTCGTTTTGTTTTTTTTTTCGGATTCGGTCTGATGGAAAAACGTCGTTGATGATTGCTGTGGAACTTGGGCGGGAGGTCGTTCAGAGAATGGTTGATTGGATTGGATTCGATTGAATTGCGTAGAGGATAAGGAAGACGATCTAATCGAATTCGTGTTTCCGATCCTGATGGCTGTCTTCAATTCGTGAATTTTAGGAGAAAGTTGAAGTATGATGCAGAATCGAAGTCCGCCCAAGCATCGACACGATGGCATATCGCCGTTGCCTCTTGGAATGGACTGGAGCCCTCCTCCTCGAAAATGGGTGGGTCTTGTGCTTTGAATATGTGGATTTATTTGCTCAGAATTAGATTATGAGAACTCTTAATATTTTTCTTCCTTTCTTTGGATTTTTCTTGGTGGATTGACCGAATAGATTTCACAGGCTTTGTCGAAATTACTTGTCCGGCTTGCTGGATGATGGGATTTTGAACAATGGCTACTGTTTGTTTTCACGATCTCATTGATTTGTTGTTCAATCCTTTAAATCTACTTTCAAGCTCTCGTCGAAACATACCATATTTACTTTAGATTACTCCTAATGAGTCGCATCGTTCTTAGTTTATCAGTGGCCTTTTTACACCCCATAAACGAACTGGACCCCTTTTACCCTTTTCTTATCTTTTCTAGGGCATTTATGGCTTCTTCGGTTGCAATTTTGTTTATACCAATTGTCATTAAGAGGAGAGAAAAAGGGGGAAAAAAAAAAAAAAAAAAAAAACTGAACGACAAGTTTTTGAAATTTTAGTTAAGAAGAAGAAGAGTAAGGATTTGTGGTTTAGCTCTATGTTGTTGTCAATGTTGGGTGGTGTATGGCAACTATCTCAATTGTTTCCTTTATTATTGACTGCGCTCTTTATATTTGGTAGTTTATTTACATCTTCACTGGGAATGTTCCATTTCATGTGCAGAATGGGAAGAACACAGTTTGGCCTCATGACCATCACACTGGATGGAGTTACTGTGTCATAATACCTTCATGGGTTGCTCTTCCTAAATCACGAGTTGCAGATCCTGTAGTGGTACGCATTTCATCTGATCCCTTTTGGTTTGGTACTTCTGGATGTAGATTTATTATTATTATCTTTTAATAACATCTTAGTAATTAGTAAACTCTAGTATAGAATAATCACTTGCATTATTTGAAGTTGCAAACCATGATGCCCAAAAAATGATGTTTCAAGAAAATGTGTCGTAGCTGCGATGGATTAATTAATAATGGTGCAAATAATTTCTCTTGTATGAATCCAATTATCATTTCTAGCTAATCTGAGGATAGCTAAGTGAATAAGTTACCAATTACGTCCCAAAGGTTGACGGTTCTATCCCCCAACCCTGTCATTGTGAACTAAAAAGAAACTTATCCACTTTCTTTCATTTACATGTTTATAGCATAGCACGTCTTTGCTTGTACATTAACATTATCAAGGGACAGTTCTACAGGGTTCAGGTTGGTGTACAGTCACCTGAGGGGATCACAGCAATGCGGGGAGTATTAAGGCGATTTAATGATTTCTTGAATTTATTTTCTGATGTAAGTTTATGCATTTTATTTTACTTGGGAATACCCCTTTTCACATTGAAAATCTCTCTTGTTGTGGTTACCTCCTGTCTTTTGAGGAAAAATTACTCATGTTTTAATTGTTTTCAGTTATGAAATTTTATCACTTTGTAGGTTAAAAAGGCTTTTCCAAAGAAAACTATTCCACCAGCTCCATCCAAAGGAATCTTACGGGTGAAAACCAGGACGCTCTTAGAAGAGGTGCACAATCTGCAAAACGTTGCATGCATGAGTTTGTCATTTAATTTATTTTCTTCAAGTATTCTTGTTACTTTATATAAGCTTGCTGGCAAATTTTTGGTATGATTTGATGACTTGCATGAATCAATCCTTCTGCCAATATGAAGTAATGAATTGACGATCATCTTCTACAGGAACAAGGAATGAAGAATATTAGAACGAATACTGAGTTACTGACTGTTTTAGATATTTTTAAGTCATGCCTAAGTTTAGACACAGTATCGGTGTACCCTGATGTATCTGTTGTGCCTTCCTCTGTAATAATTTCTTTGAAGAAAAGTAGGAATCATTAAACAACCACATCTGTCTTTCAGATACTATAGAACTTATAATAGATTTCATTAGATTCTTGGAGCACTGCACATTTGTACCGTGTGTTCTTGTGCACTGTGCATCCTTTTTCTGTAGTTAACTAAAACCTTTTGATTTTGAGATGAGAGTGTTGATGTTGTCCATTACATGTGTAATTATCTTTATGCATTTTGGTTGTGTATCTGTAAGACTGTAACTATTATTCTTCACAGGTTTAATTTTGTTGCAGAGAAGGCGCTCTTTGGAGGAGTGGTTGACAAAGCTGTTGTCTGACATCGACATATCAAGAAGTGCTGCAGTAGCGTCCTTCCTTGAGCTAGAAGCTGCTGCTAGGTCTTGTACGTTCTTTCTAGTTTAGAGGGTTATTCAAAAATATCTTTGCTATGTATTTATCTAGTTTTTACCCCTTAAAATGTTACTTCTAAACGTTATTATTTTCTGTTCACCATAACACATATATTGAAGTTTTAACATTTTAATTCCTGCCTCAATGCTTGCAGTTTTCCAAAATGATAATCAGGGGCCTTCAGATGAAAACCCTGATTATAACAGCAAAATTTCTACACATCAATCCCCTCCTAATTCAAGCTCATCTACTGTTGCCGGTGGTTTGTCGCTTGCATCAGATTATGGCAGTGATACTGCTTATGAGGCGTCTGAACTTGGTACAGCAAGTCTGGGAAGAGATGATAATTCTGAAATTGCCATGGATGATTTAGCTCTGGACGACGATCTTTCCAGTCCAATTGAAAAACTTGTGAAGTATGGATTGTCCAATATTGATGAGGGACTCTTTATGGGTCAGGCCATTATAGAGCAGTTGGAAGGCCTTCCAAAACACAAATCTCGTCCTGGATATAATAGCAATTTAAAGGATGGGCACAATGGTAGTACTTCCAAGGCATCGTACTTGAATAAAAATGGACTGGTGCCGTTTGCAGATCCCGAGCATGGCAAGGTAATTGGTCATGCTCGCAAGCTGTCTGATGAGAGTGTGGCAAGTGATGCAAGTTCTTCTCTGAGAGGTGGAGAAATTTCAAGCTTTTCACCATTAGGCAATGGCTCACTTGACCATTCAGGTGCTGAGGTTTCAAATGCAGTTGAATTTCTTAGCAACCCTGAATTGCATTTTTCACATGATGCACTGCTCTTCCCAAAGGATCATCGCCATAAATTGAATAGGGTTCTTTCAACAATGCATCAAAGGCTAGTGACTGCAAAAACAGACATGGAGGACCTTATATCAAGATTGAACCAGGAAATAGCCGTGAAAGATTACCTTACAACAATGGTATAATCAATGATATACTAAAAAGTTTCTGTTCTGTTCTTTCCAAATGAGAATTAGCTGGCTGTTTCTGGTCTAGATGTTAGAATATCTCTATTCTTACTGCCCTTTGAATTATTTCTTTTTATCTAAATTTTTTTTCAACACATTTTTTCAGTATTTCATTTTTCACAGCCATCGGCTGTGCAAAAGTTTCTTATGAGTGGTTCCACATAATGACTGTGCACTATCGTTAAGTAAATGCCAAATCATTTTTTGATGTCAAGTTTTCCTGTGCCAATGGCTTGTAATCTTCGGACCGACTATCATAAGTTCTCATTACTAGCTCAATAATGCTATCATAAGTTCTCGAAATGACTTCTGGTTGTGCTCGTGATTACGTGCTGGATGCTGACGGAAACCTAACTCATCTTGTGACAATTTATTTCCAGGTTAAGGATTTGGAAGTAGAACTCGAAACAAATAAGCAGAAAAGCAAAGAAAACCTTCAACAAGCTATTTTGATGGAGAGGGAAAAGGTTACCCAAATGCAGTGGGAAATGGAGGAACTTCGTCACAAATCATTGGAAATGGAGTTAAAATTGAAGTCTAAAGAGGTTTTTAATCTTCGAAATTTGCCTTATTTATCTCACTGTTCTTACTATTTTGCACTAACTCTTTTTGATGATACACAAAATGCTCTAGGGTGAAGATCCACTTTCAGTGCCTACAAAAGAATTTACCCTCCAGGAGAAGGTTGCTTTGCAAGAAGAGCTTGAATCCACGAAAGAGCAACTAAATAATGTTCTTAAGCGATTCGAAGAGCTTGAAGGAAAATCAAAAGCAGACATCAGGGTTCTTGTTAAAGAGGTCAAATCTCTTCGAAGTACCCAAGCCAAACTTAAACAAGAGCTCAGTCAAACACTTCAACAGAAGTCTGAGACTGAGGTAATATTACAATCTGCTAATTGTGCTATGATTATGGTGTTAAACGAAAGTTCAAGCTGATAACAACTTTTTCCTGTTTTCTCAATGAAGTACTACCATTGTTTTAAATGGAAGTTCGACATGTTTCAACACGGACAAATTATTTTGCTTTGGTTACTCACTCTTTTGCTCATATCTCATCTACTTTTTACTTAGTAATATATTTTTTTTTTCTCTCTCGGAGCATATATGTTGAATTCATAATAATAGAAGAACGCCTACTGTTTTAGCTGGAAATCTGCGTTGCTATATCTGTTCAGTTTATTGACTGTGAAAATCTGTTAGCATATTTTGACAGAACTAAAGAGTCAAATTTTAGTATGTCCTGTTGATGTTCTTTTTCTCCTCATTCAGGAGTTCCTTCAACAGGAAAGAGAAATGAGACAGCACGATAACACCGCTTGGAGAAAGCTGCTGTCTGAATGTAGGAGCCTACGTGATCGGCTTAAAGAATGCAGCATGAACTTTTCAGCAGATGATGATTATAACCATGATGTGGAATCATCAGCCTTATCTAATGCCTTGGATTTGTTGACAACATCTTATGACCAACTCAATCTCCTGCTCACTGAGGTATCCAATACGTTTTGATATGTATCTATTATGTAATAGAGTTCTTTTTTGTTCGGCATATTCTCAAGGCTGAACCAACTAAACCATTGTCTCCTAATCCCTTCCACTCATTTGTACTGGTAAATGGCCAAATATTGTCCTCTTTGGGCTTTTTTTTTCGGGATTCTCTCAAGGTTTTTAAAATACGTCTGCTTGGGAGCGGTTTCCACGCCCTAGGGTGTTTCGTTCTCCTCTCCAATCGATGTGGGATCTCACAGTCCACCCCCCCCCCCTCAGGGATCAGTGTCCTTGCTGGCACACAGCCTTTTGTCCACCCCTTTCGGGACTCAACCTCCTCGTTGGCACATCGCTCGGTGTCTGGCTCTGATATCATTTGTAACCACCCAAGCCCAATATTGTCCTCTTTGGGCTTTTCCTTCCGAGCTTCCCTTCAAGGTTTTTAAAACGCGTCTGCTAGGGAGAGGTTTCCACACCCTTATAAATGGTGTTTTGTTCTCCTCCCCAACCGATGTGGGATCTCACAGTAGTAAACCCCTTTTTAGTTCCCTAATAATAGTTGACTCCAAAGGGCAGTCCCATCGGCAAGTCACGCAGTGTTATCTAAGACGAACCGTAATAATATTTCTTATGTCTGCCCTGAGGACGTTCCTAACACTCCAACCCATTATCGTTGTCGAGGTGGGATCCTTTTTTCATCACCATTTTGTCTCATCCTGCTGCTTCATCTGAGTGCTTTATGGTGTTGTTTAAGTAAATAAACAAAACATTTGTTGGGATTAACTGTCCAGGAAAACCTTCTACTCGCTGGCAACAAAACCGCTACTTCAATGGCAGATGACGACGTTCAAGATCGCCACAACAGTTCGATTGAGATAGACACAGAGCTGAGGATGATACTTAAAGACATGTTCACAGAAAACGCTAGGTTGAGGAAACAGGTCAATTCGTACTACCGGCATAGTATGCAATCGAAGATGTCAAAGGAAGCTGATGGTGCAGAGGCTTCTTCTTCTTCAGAACATACTGAAGTACATACCAGTACAGAGACATGATAGCTGTTGATCAGTATATTATTTCCCTCTTTCCTTCTTTCTTTTTCTAGTTTTTCCCCCTCCACCCCTCTAAATATAAGAAAGCACTTGGTTGATTCAGTAGCCGTTTTGCTCATCTTTGGATAAATAATGCAGCTAGCTTGGTATAGTGGATAATTTTAGCCAATGGGTTGGTGCAAAAGTCAGTGATGTCATTTTGTGGCTTGAGTTTGTTTTTTAGGGAAGGTTACATTATGAATTAGGGGACCCTGCAACTGATGAGGGATGCTCATATGCCCCTAACATTTAACCTATTTGGCCCCTCCCACGACACACATGTTCTACTTTTACTTTGTCTTCATGTTTTTGTTCATTTTGAGAACAAATGCTAACAAAGCCAAAAATTGAACATTTGCACTTTTGGTCTGTCTATTTAATAGGATAATCCTTCATGAACGTTTTAACCTATTCTTAGATTATGGACAAAATTTGAGACTTGAAATGACGTGATGGTAACTTTCAATTTTCATTAAATGAGTATCCTTGACCAATTTTTTACCATGAAAGTTTGTGAAAGTAAAAGACTAGACTGACGTCTAGTGGCATATTTGTTAGTGGTGAGCTTGTGTTGTTACAAATGGTATCAGAGCCTGACATCGAGCTGTGGGCCCAAGAGAGTGAATTGTGAGATTCAGATACCATGTGCCAGCGACGGAGGCCCCATGGAGTGAATTGTGAGATCCTAGCACACATGAATTGTGAGATCTAAACATCGTGTGCCAGCGGACGGTGGGCCCCTGGAGGTGGATTGTGAGATGGGCGGGCCCCGAAGGTGGATTGTGAGTTCTCATATTGGTTGTTGAGGTGGATTGTGAGATGGACGGGCCCTAGAGGTGGATTGTGAATTCTCACATTAGTTGTTGAGGTGGATTGTGAGATGGGCGGGCCCAATATGGATTGAGGTGGATTGTGAGATGGGCGGGCCCTAGAGGTGGATTGTGAGTTCTTACCTTAGTTGTTGAGGTGGATTGTGAGATGGGCGGACCCAAGGTGGACGGTGATCTCCCAAGTAATTCATAGAATGTCTATTTTGGTTTGTGTTTGGGATTAAGATTTATCATTTATATATATATATATTTAGACAGGTGGCAGAAAATGATTGGGGGAGGAAAAACGGGTGGCAGAAATCTTCACACGTGTTAGGTGCAGCAGCTTCTATAAAATTGGATAGTTGAGTTAATTAAAAAAAAATATATATATATTAACTTCTTTTTATTATTTTATTTTATAAATTAGTCTCTATAAATTTATAAACATATATTTAACAAAATTTAATAAAAATTATCTCAAACTAATAATAAAAACTAAATTTAAAATGTATTTAAGATGTTGAGTAATTATATTAAAATGAAATGCAAAACTATTATTAGAATTTAATAATGTGTCGAGTTACATGGGTGAATTTATTCACATAATATTTTTCTTTTACATGGAAATATTGTTATTATTTAATTAATTTTGAAATTTATTTAAATTACATGCCACGTGGCCGAAGGTCAGTGGTCAAGGCTACTAGGAGAGAACTCCTCGCTTTCAGAGCTCCATTACGTAATAAACCCGTCGTATTATAAAATGCGAGAAATGTCCCAAATCGGCGCAAATTAGAACATACTAAAATGCGCGTTTTTCTTTTTTTGGTTCAGTTAATTTGCATTTTGTCTCCAGTTTCTTTCATAGACACTGCCTTTTCTCCTCACCGCTCATTTCTTTCTGTGATTCTCTTCCGCCGCGCTTTTTCTTTGATCTGCCACGAAAGCTCAGGGCTCAAGTTGATCGTCTCGCGAGACACAGAAATTTGTCTTCACTTTGATGCGTTTCTCAGATTGATTTGGCAACGAACAAGAATTCGTCTTTGTTTGTGAACGGATGTGCTCCACCGGCGTTCCATGGCGTCTTCGGCGGCTATTCATCTTAACATCTCCGCCTCTTCCTCTCTCCGCCTTTCCAAGGTCTACTATTATTCTAATCTGATTGCGCATCGCTCTCTAGTTATTGTGTGTTTCACTGTTTTTTCAAGTTCTGTATAACCGATGTTACTTCCGGCGTCAGTTTATTGGATTTTCCTCGAGTTTTTCGGATCTGTTGTTTTATTTTGACATGGAGAAGTCACTGGAGATGTTATTTGGAGAGAAATTAATTGCTTGGACCGATAAAGATTTGATTGAAGTATTTTATCGAACTCATTTTTTTTGCTTATATCTTGTTGGAACATTATTACATTTTGATTTCGGTATTAGATTGTTGTCGAGTGATTTGGATAGAGATTTACTTCTTGGACTGATAAAGATTCGGAAGTATATTTTAGAACTCATTTTAGGTTAAAAAAAAGCTTGTTGTCGTGTTATTACATTTTTGTACTAGATTGCTGTCGAATGACTGATGGACGCATTGCTGTTCTTACCATAACAATTTACACGGTTGCAGAGATCGTTTAATCCAATGCACTTTTGTGCATCTTTTTGCCGTTCGCTCCTCTTCTCTTTAACTATAGGAATCTTTTTCTTTCATCTCGCTGATGTCTGTATTTTATCACTTTATGTATCCTGGAAGTAATCGATCTAGGTAGCCATGGTTTTCTCTATTATCTCACTGGAATCTTCCGAAAGTAATGTTCTCTTCTCTTTTGCATTTGGTTTCCTTTGTACAGAGGTCATCTCTGAGGCTCACTAGGAATCAGACTAAATTTACTTCTAGCACAACTCGGGAGAGAAGGTCTCATTCCCTGAAGGTTGTCCAGTCAGTCCTGAATACCAGCAAGTCAAATTTGAACGACAATGGAGCAAGTGAAGAAGCAAAACTGCTTCTCGAGAGATTATATGCCCAGACACAAAGATTGGAAGAACACGTAAGCAAAGATTCTCACTCCCCACAAGATGTTTGGCTAGGACTCAGTCTTGAAAATCTCGAGTCTGGTCTTCAGGCTGCATTGACAGTGTTGAAAAAGAAGGAAGAAGATCTACAAGATGCAGAAAGAACGATTCTATCAGAACGAAGCCAATTAAACAATGCGAGGGAGAAGTTGGAGAAGCAGGAGGAAGAAATTACTGCTGCTTATCATAAACAGCAAGAATTAGAAGACGAGCTTAAGCAGGCAAATCTGAACTTAGCTTCTCAAGCTAGACAGATTGATGAATTGAAACTTCAAATCAGGGAGAAAGACGAGAGGATTGCTGCAGTTGAATCTACCCTTACTTTGAAAGAAGATGAGTTGACGAAAATGAGAGCTGATTTGGCTAAGAAGAGTGAGGAAGCTATTAAGACAGATTCTGAACTGAAGTCCAAGTCCAAGCTTCTGAATGAAGCCAACGAAGTAGTTAAAAGACAAGAATTTGAGCTACAAATGCTTAAAAACGCTGTGCTAGAGAAAGAACAAGAACTGGAAGTTTCTGTAAAGCTGCAGAAACTTGAAGAGGAGAAACTGGAAGTTGTAGAGAAAAATCTGGAGAAGAGAACCACAGAATGGTTGTTAGTACAAGAAGACCTGAAAAAATTGAGAAAGGAATCATCTAAGAAAGCAGTGGAGATGAACAAAACTGTGAACGACTTCAACCGAGTGAAGAAGCTTCTTGCTGATGCAAAAAGTGAGCTGGTTTCCTCTCAGAAGTCTCTTGTATCCGCCAGAAAGAAAATAGAAGAACAAGAAGATATTCTTGGGAAGCAAATGACAGAACTTGAAGAACAGAAGAAGGGTATCAATGCATATATGTCAAGTTTAGAAGATGCTCAAATTGAAATAGAGAGCGAGAGAGTCAAGCTTAGGGTCGCACAGGCCCAGAACAAGGAGCTTGAACGTGTCTTGTTCATGGAAAAGGAGCTCACAGATGAGTTACAGCAACAACTGAAGAAAGAAAAATCCAATCTCCAGCAGGTAACTGAGGAGAAATCGATTCTACAGAAGGAGTTAGAGCATAAACATATCGAGTTTGAGAAAACTCACAATCTCCTTCAAGGTAAAGCGTCGGAGTTGGTCGAGGCCAACTTAGAAATCCAACGTTTGAAATCTCAACAGGTTTCTCTTCAACTTCTTTTGGAAGAGAAAGACTTGGAAATACATGATGCACAAAAGAAAATTGAGATTTTAAACGAGGAAATTATTGAGCTACAGACACTTATGAGTAGTAAAGAGGCCCAGCTCAGTCAGACAACTGTTATGCTGAAAGAGAAAGATGAATGTGTTCAGATAATGCAAAACGAACTGAATGATACAAAGCTGAAAATTTCTGAAGCTGAAGCCGTGGTAGGCCACATAGTGGATCTCACAAACAAATTGGTGATGTCCATCAATGATGGCGACGACGATGCTTCGGAATTGAACGATGACCTTAGCATCAATCTACAGCAGCAATTCTTCAAGCAACCTACTGATGATAATATGGGGCTGCAGAAGAAACAGCTTGAGACCGAGCTAGAGCTCACCAAGGAAAGCTTGAGACAAAAAGAAATGGAAATTCAAGCTGCAGAAAGGGCCCTGACCGTTAAAGACGAGGAACTAAAGACGGTTCGGGAAAGATTAGATACAAAGGAGAAAGACTTAGAGAATATGAAGGAAGAGATGGATGAAGAAGCTAAGGATCTGAGGAAGCTATACGCTTTGGCAGAAGACAGTGTTGGAGTTGGAGACTTGGCAATTGAAAAGCTTCAAATTGAAGCTGCTCAGTTAGAGGTTGAAGCAGCAACTAGCGCACTTCAGAAACTCACAGACATTAGCCGAGAGCTTCTGAATAAAGCCAGCCACAGCCTCAAGGGTGATATCGATACGAGAAGCATTCACTTTCAGCTGCACGACGATGACAGCGACAACGACGTCGATACTAGAATAGGTGGTGGGATCGATAATAACAGCCAAAGATTCAATGAAGTGAAGCTGGAAGTTTCCCGTCTTTCATCTCTAACCGAACAGCTCTTGAAAGAGGCTGGTATATTTGTTGATGCGGATTAGTGGATAACTACATCTATTGGGATGAATAAAAGGTCGTTTAAAATTTTTGCACGAAGTTATTTGATTGATCTGCTAGGTACTCAAAATAATCAGAGCAGCATGTCTTCAACTTCAGTTTCTCCACTTATGAAGCTTGTTGCACTGTTTCTATATATGCTGGAGATCTCGAGAGGGATTCAAATATGAGTTCGAACATAAAAGATTTTTTCATCCTTCGTCTGAAGATTTAAACTGACGAAGATTTAAACCTATGATCTCTGGTAATGCGTAGAAATGTCTTATTTACTGCATAAGCATATGAACATTTTTATACAAACAACATATTATTCTTCTAGACATGCACATTCTTAGGGTTTGTTTGTTCGTTTCATAACTGTACAGGAGTAGTTACATAGTACTGGGAGTATAAACCAGTCAGTAAAGCTAATCTATACAGATAACTTGGCAGAACACTTTGAGCTGATAGAACAACGAACAGGCTGTAGAATCATCGAGCGACCGTGCCAACGCCATCTCGGAAAAGAATATTTTTCACAGGCGGAGGAATCCAAGCTGGATTGTTGGCATTCTGACCTTCAGCAGTATGTTGAGATTCACAATACACAAGGTTGCCTTGCGGCTTCTTCACCTTTGACCTCCCCACTTTCTTCCCAAATGCAATTCCCAGCTTCATTGCTGTGAACAGCCCAAATGCAACCAGAACTGGTCTAACAGACCAGTGAAAATCCTCAAGATGTTGGTACTTTTTCACCATCCCTGGACACGTGCTAAAATTAACTGCCTCGACCTCAGCTGGATCGGCCATGTACGTATCACATTCTTCTTTGAAAGCGAGAATTCCAGGGAACTTGACCATGAGGCAGCCATTGGGCAGGACCCACCAAATCCTCCCTGTAGCCCAGACACCTCCTTTCTTACGAGGCCATTCGAATCGTGGTCTCAGAACGCTGGCTTTTATCCGTACAAATTGGCCAACGCAAAACGATTCTGCCATCTGAAACTGGGAAGAGTTACCCTTCCAGAGGGTTTCTACACCGATAAAAGCAACAGCTACATTACCAACACGATCGATTGAATGAAGAATTCCCACTGGAGAGTGTTTCTTCTCTGCTTCCTTCAATCGTATCCAATCACCAGCTGCTAACCCGAAACTCACCCGCTCAAGCGTAGAAGCACACACTCTTACAGGATCATGGATTCCACGAACCCTCACCAAGACAAAAGCATCTTTTTCAGTCTCACGTTCCAACCCCACTATCCTTCCTTCAGGGATGTTCATATTATCTGACTTGCACGAGTTCAATGGCTTTCTCGAACGCACCAAGTCGTTCACTTGCAAGTGATCTTTCGAGAGAAACCATTCAGTATGTCCAGTGGCACTTGATTTGTTCAACACTTTTGAACTCCCAATGGCTTGCCAATCATTGTTAACGCCTTGTAGAGAGCTACAAAGCAGAAATAACTCCATCAACTCATCAAATTAAAGGGCAAAAAGGGTTAGAAATGGCAAAAAAGAGAAGCCATTATGAACCATATTAATCATAAAAAAACTGAACAGTGCCACTTCCCAGTTCTCTACACATCTATAAGGTACACTTCTAAAAATCTGAGTCTATCAATATTCAATTCATAAACAAGGTGATTCAGTAATCTGCTTTGGTTTATGTAGGTGCTGCACAGATTTTAATAAGGCAACAACAAGAAGACGAGAAAGGCACGTAAACTGGGATATCGGTTCTTGGCTTCAAAGGTAGATTTTAGCCGTTCTTTTGCATAAAAATCTCTCTTTAAAACACATTTCTCATGTTCCTTACTGTTTACATATTCTGTTGGTGGTCAAAACTTGAAGTCTAAATGTAACTGCCCAAGCCCACCGCTAGTAGATATCGTCCTTTTTGGGCTTTCCTTCAAGGTTTTTAAAACACGCCTACTAGGGAGAAGTTTCCTCACCCTTATAAAGAATACTTTGTTCCCCTCTCCAACCAACGTGTGATCTCACAATCCACCCCCTTCGGGACCTAGCATTCTTGCTAGCGCTCGACCTAGCATTCTTATTAGCAGATATTATCCTCTTTGGGCTTTTCTTTTTGGGTTTTCCCCTCAAGATTTTTAAAATGCATCTGCTAGGGAGAGGTTTCCACACCAAGGTGCTTCGTTCCCCTCTCCAACTGATGTGACATCTCACAATCCACCCCCTTGGGAGCAGAACATTCTTGCTGCACTCGCACTCGTTCCCATTTTCAATCGAGGTGGGATCTCACACAAAAAATTTAGTTGGATAGTACAAAAAGAAAGAGACTAGTTAGTTACTGATGCTAGTTTAATGCTAAGTGACCCAAGTAGGAAATTCAAAAGAGACTCAACTAAGGCAAACATCCACAAAATAGGATCAAGAAAGAGAATGGAGAGAAAGCCATAAACCTCTTACAATCTGAACAAGGAAGCATTTTTTGATAAGGGAAATCAAAGTGTCATGAGACGATATGAAGGAGGCGACGTACCTCTGGAACACATTTAGTATATCTGTCATCAAAGGACGACTCCTCAAGTCATATTCAAAGCAACCAAAAAGAGCATTCTCAATTAGAGGAGGAAGTCCACTTGGAATACAAGGCTTTTCTTGTTTCCTGACAACAGAATGAAATATTTCATCAACTGATTTCCCGTGCCATGGCGGAACACCAGTCAACATCTCAACCACGCAGCAACCAAATCCCCACGAATCAGTTTCATTCGATATCGGACCTCTAATTTCTGGCTGCCATTGCTCCGGTGCCATATAGTTAGGTGTCCCAAGTCTCTGAATTATATCCGTATTTGGTATCGGTACACCACGCAGTAGAAAAGGAATTCCTAGATCTCCCAAAATTGCTTGGTCCTTGGTAGAAAGGAGCACGTTCGAAGGTTTCAGATTAAGAACCAAGACCTCTTTCGAGTGCAATTCTAAAATCCCCTGAGATAGACTGATTCCATACCTGCAACAAGTAGCATAGGTGGAGAATTTTGCCCTCAAAAAGTGTTATTAGAACTTAGAAAGACTAATCTAACAGATTCAGATAGAGATTTTCACAACTTTTTTTTTTTTTCACAAAGTTTCAAATCTATATCAGAATATCACCTCAATACATCAGGGAGTGAAAGCTTTCCATCTTTAAGACGAGCCATTTTATCAGCAACTGATCCTTCATAGAACTTCATGATTATGCATAACTGTAAGAACACACAAAGGAAATTAACATCTTAGCAACCTACACACATACTTCCAACGAAATAGCCCGACAAATGCAGTGTAGCAACCGATACCGGAACATTACCTTCTCGTCGATTATAGACACTCCATACAGCCTGCAGACACTCTTTCCACCTTGACACTTGTAGAAATGATCCTCAAGTTTATCAAAAACAACCTTCATATGGTCTTCTTTAACAGGATTCAACATCTTGACTGCAACTTCATGGTACTCATCATAATCCTTAGTGGACTGATGGAGAGTTGCTAACCAAACGTCACCGAACACACCCCGCCCAATCCGATGCCTAAGCTTCACCTTTGAAGGTTCAATCCTAGGGCTTGGGTAGTTTGATGAAGCAACCACTGTCCTGACATGATCAGGATCGCCATCAAGAAGCTCATACTCAAAAGAAGGAACCGCTTGAGAAGCAGCTTCTTGTGTAGCCATTCCTCAACTGGAACAAACAAAGAATCAAACCAAAAACACAGAACTAGAATATAGCATTACACCAAAAAAACACAACAGTATTCAGGAAAATCAAAACTCAACTGGAACAAACAAAGAATCAAACCAAGAACACAAGGCCGATTAATTAATTCGGCAAAAAACAAAAACATAACTACACAAATTAAAAAAAAAAAAAATTAAAAAGAAAGAAATCCGATCAACTTTAAATCAAAAGAGAAGCCGACTCCAATCAACTCGAAATCTCAGTCGGTTTCGAGGGAACCGAAAACAGAGGCAAAACGGAAAGAACTTGAAAAGATTCGAGAGAAGAGAAAGAAGATACCGATTAAGGAAATTGAGGAGAAATCCGAGGGAGCTAAGGAAGAAACATGGGAGTGAGAGAGAGAGAGAGAGAGAGAGAGAGAGTGAGAGAGAGAAGAAATGGGGAAACGGAATTGAAAAGAATTTAAAGGCTAATTTATTGTACAGAAATGGGAAGAGAGAAAGAAGGAAGAGAAAGGAAGAAAAAGGAACTGAGCCGGCGAGGAAATTACGGATTAGTCCACTTGTTCGGTGTAACTGAACGCCACGACAATGACTGTTAAGTTCTCTTTTAGATTTTTTTATTCATTTTTATAAATTTAGTATTTAAAGGTAAAAAAATTTTATTTTAGAAACAATAGGATAGAAACTGTTTATAAACTCTTTTAATTAATTTTTATTTTTTTAATTGTTAAAGAAAGTCTCCCATTTAAATATAGGGGTTTGTAAACCTATAAGATTAGATTTTCAATTTCTTCGAATTTCTTCAATTTTAAATTTCAAATATACATTGAAAAAATGCTAAAAAAAATGTATAACTTAAAAATTGGTTGATTGCATTTATTATTTGATTAAATTTTTTAAAACATAATAATAATGGTGGATATGATAATTTATTTTAATAGTACGAGACATTGACTAAGTTAGAGATGAATTGAAAAATAGATGCTTGAAGATAGGTAGGTGATTTTGTTTGTAAAGTCAAATAATATTAATTTGTAGTGCAATACCCAATATTCATTGATTTTTTGTTACGCAATCTTCAAATACAACTGCCAATAACTTTAGTGCATTACATTATTACTATTATTATTTTATATCTAAATGATTCTTATCATTATTTTATTTCAAAGAGAATAAATTGAAGTTTTAGTCTCAGAATCACCACGTGGCATTATCAATAATGCGCAAAGTTAGACATCTATTTTGTAATAAAATGATACCCAATCGCTTTTTTTTTTATAGTTAAAATGACGAGTTTTTCACTTAAATTCATACTTATTGAACCTCAAATAATTTCGAACCTATTTGAGCCTCAAATAATTGATGGACTTATTAAATAAGTTTTCATACAATTTACCGTATGAAAACTTACTAAAACACTTTTTGTCAGACGGGTCA